GGAGGCATATGAAAACTGGAAAACTCATTGGCAGCAGTGTGTAGGTGAGGAAGGGTGCTGCTTTGAAAAATTCTAATTGTTTGTTCTATTCTCATGAATAATTTTTTTTTAAAAAATGAGTCCTACTACTTTCAGAACAGACCATGTATGTTGTCAGTAGAGGACACTTTTCCATACCTTGGTATACTGAGACAGAAATAAAGGCTGCATTCCCTTGGACAAGTGAAGGCTTAAAAAGTGCTGTTTCAAAGGCTTCCCAGAGAGATTACAGGCATGATCTCTGCCTTTTTTTTCCAAAGCACACTGCATTTACACAGCAATAAACGTTATCTTTGGAGAACTCCTTGTGGGGTTGTGTGTGGGAGCAGGTGGGTGTCGGTGACTGTGGTGGACTGAGTGGGGCTTTTGTTTACACAGTGATCCTCATTGAAATACTTTTATAAAGCTTTCCATTCTTGCTTAGAGAAAATATTCCCTAGTTATGGCTAACCAATTTCTCGAGTTTGTTGGCAGCACTATATGAACAGTGCCTTTAAAAAAAATATATATTTTTTTATTTAAAAAAAAAAAAGACTTCATGTTAAAAAATAAAGGATCTACCTCAGTTAATTTGTGCAGTTTTTTTGCACAGATCTGTTTTCCAGTTAATAGTTTGCATCAGTAATCAAAACAGGCTACTGAGAATTTTAGTGCCCTCAGAAAGAACTAGGTGAACCAAAATTTTTAATTTAGAAAAAGGGGGTCTTGAAGGACTTGGTGAGAGAGGAGAGTACACTGCTGGGGAGAATACAGCCTTTACTGTGTCATACCAGTGCTGGATTACTCCAAAATGCTTCTTCTAATCTAACCTTTTTTCAGTGTTTTTTGTTTTTTTTTTTCCTGTTTCAAAATGTGACAGTTCACAAAAAGTTAGATCTTGACCCAGCTTGTGCCGTTGGATCAAATTTTGTAAGTGATGTTTGGCCATGGATGTCATATAGACAGTGGATTATTTTCTAGTTATCTTTACAAGCTAATTAAATCTCGTGCTTAAAGGCCTTCTTCAACAGAAGGAGGACCAAAAAAAAAAAGCCAGGATGGCCATGGCTACCACAAATCATATTGGGCATTACTACCTTCTGTATATGTGAAGGGTAGAGTGATTTGCATTAATGGTCCTGCAGCTAGGTGCTAGCTAGTCAGATTTATGGACCATTCCATAATGAGAAATGTAGCAACTCAAGAGCATACATACAGCTGATCCCCTTTCAATAAAAGTTATTAACTGGTGAGGATGGCTATATTCTGACATAAATCTTGTGGTCTCTCTTGTACACAAACCTTGCTTTATGCCTCTTCAAGAAGAATAAGAGTCATTGTTTTTTTCCCTATTTATGCAAACATAGGCACTGTGGTGCAGTGTTGGTTCTCTTGAGAACCATATCCGAAGTGTACTTGAGGCTTTTTCAGAAAGACCTGATTAAAGTCGATAGAGAATATATGTGCTCCCCACTCCCTTTATTTTCTGCTTCACTCCTAGTTGTATAGTTTTAGCCTTTCCTCATAGATCAAACAGATGTCTTCAGCTGTGTGCTTTGGGTGTGTTCAAAAGGTGGGCAGCGTAGCATGTAAAATCTAAAGGTCATAAATAAACCTATTTCACTGGACCAAGCAAGGATACATGCAGTGAAAACTGCATCTTCCAGAATTCAAAGGGCTGTTCAGGTGTGAGAGGCAGTTTGAAGAATATGGATCTTTCTTTCACAATTTCATTGGAAATAGCTTCAAGAATCATTTTAGCAACTGAACTGAGGTTTAAAATAGAAACAGCTAAAGAACATGAAATTACTGGCTGTATCAATAGAATTTGCTGAGATGAGATGCAAACGTGCTAGTACTTGAGTATCTCAAAGTGATTTTAAAGTATATGACAAGATCTTAGGGCACTGCAGAAACGCAGCATTTTTTATATGCACAGAAGAAAAATAATGCAGTTGTTCAACTACTAGTCACTGTGATTAGCTGTCTTACCACCTAGTTCCGCTGTCTAGTATTTCTGTTTTCCTGCATGGTTGAGCCTCCTACTACTTGCTTTTCAAAATTTGTTAGTTCTGAAACATATACTAGGCTCTATCAGTTATGTTGTGTTACTCATTTCAGTCTGAGAACCTCCTGAGGCCATCAGACACTTATAGAGTGAGATGACTGACGCAAGGGATGCTGGAACCCAGGTAGCAATAAATGCTTTTTGCTTAGTGTTGTGTTCTGTACTCCCCCTACTCCTTCAACCAGGAAGTAGTAATAACGGATTTTTAACTAAATCTGAATTTCAGAAATATAATAAACATTGCTCTAGTGTTATAGAGTCTAACACTGATGGCTTAGAATTCAATTCTGTAGCTAGAATCACCATCCTTCTCAGAGGCAATATTTAGAGTGTCTGTTCCTTTTAGTTTACTAATTTTCTGCCAAGCTTTTTATAAAAATTCAGAATTCTCTGTTCTCTAACTATATAAAGCAAGAAATTTGAATGCATTGGGATTGAGGTATGGTAATATAGCTTTATGTGATTACTTTTACTGCAAGGTGATTTTTTGTCAGATTGAGGAAAAATTGCTCAGTTTTTTTGCTAGGCTTCTCTTGTATGAAGCAGCAGCTATAACTGAAAGCAAGTCTTTAACTACAGCATTTTGAGTGTGAATATTTTCTATTGATTTAGGCTTCTTTCAGTGTTTGCAGGAGGGGGAAGAGTTAAGGTGAATTGGCGAGGAAATTTCTCCACTAAGTTATTCTGAAGAAAGGCTGAGTACACTCATTTCTCACTAGCAATGGGAAACTCTTTCTTTACATAGAGAATGGCAGTAATTCTTAAAGATACAAAATAGGAGAATAGTGTCCGGCCTTTCTGGCTTATTATCCAATTCCATGTTGTGGAGAGCTCCGGGTACATATGGAGCGATCCAGAGACCCACAGGTTGGGTAACTCCAGGAGAGTTTCCAGAGGACCATGATAGTTGCCATGATAGTTGGATCCTGCCACTCATTGTGACACTTTCTTCCTTCTGCTGTGTTCTGTCCAGTGTGAAGTGGACTCTGTGTAATTCTCAAGGAGAAAATTTCAGTTTGTGAATAAATCCTTCCCAAATCAGTGAAGATGTGAAAATGGCTAATTCAGGTATATGGCAAGCTTGTTTGCATTGCATTTTCATGTTGTCACTGGAAGGTAGCACTGTGAAAGCAGCATGTGTTGAGCAGTTCAACTTGTAGAATAATCACCTTTCTCTTGTGAGGGAAAGTTTTCAGAAGTGAATAAAACTGTACCTTACTGCAGTTCTGCAGGAACATCGTGCTCGCCTCTTTAGTTACCCACCTGCTTTCAAGGAAACTGCAGTGAGCACCATTGTTTACTGCTCTTACATACCCAGCTGTTATGTTATACAGTGACTTGTTTCTCCCTACTGTGTCTTTGCTTTTTGGTTTTGAAGGTGTGCATTGTGGATGTATACTCTGCCAATTGATACATGTTCTACCCTTTCTAACACCATACATGTGTGTTGATTAATATTAAATGGTATAGCTTAGAATCCAGCATATTAGGAAAATAAATGGTAGATAGTGTGCCTAAGAAGTGTAAAACACAAGAACGGGCTTACTAAAGACCCTAGAAGTCATATTCTTTTAACAATTCTGGATTGTACCACGTAGTACAGTTCCTTCCCACTAGCCATTGAATTGGGCACCTTCCTCTGAACTTGTTGTCTGAGACCTGTTCATTTGAAGAAACTTCACCAGCCAAATACTGGAGTTTTTACCAAGTTTAGGAACTGGTCTTGGTTTTTCACTTTCCTCTGTTTGCTCTGCCAGTACTCTTCATCTGACCAACCATCAGGAGTGAGAAGCAAGCTCTCCCAAAAAACAATTCCTCTCATCTCGGATAGATGAGTATCTAATGGTGTGGTTTTACAAATACTGTGAGTTTGTCATTGCAGTGTAAACTACAAGAAACACTTCTCTCTAAGAAACACTTCTTTCTAATGTAGGCATTTCTTTTGCTAGTGCTTAGTTGGCAGTGAGGAGCTGACATAAGATAACACATTTATTTTCTGACTTGATTTTATTGCGGGTTTTGTATAGGGTTGAGAATGATAGCTGTAGAAGGTCCAGAATACTGCTTTTTGATGTACATCCCCAGAACTATGGTCCCAAGTAGATGCTGTAGCACTAAGACCTGTACAAGCTCTTTCATCCCACTAATTGGAAAGGGTTAAGTGTGGTGGATCCCATTAATTAGTATTTGACTTTCTGAAAGGGAAATCCTTCCAGTAGTCTGAATTTACAAACTGGAAACATGTTTTTGTGTCCTTGATGTTGCGTGTGGCTGTGTTAAACAGGCAGACATTCCATACGAGAAAGTAGTTTAAGTCAAGAGGTGTTCCCAGAATTGAGCAGCAGGACCACAACAGGGAAATGGGTAAAATGGTTTTAGGTGATGCACTTAAAGAGCAGGTTGGTAATGATGGACAGCTTCCCCAGTTGAGGACAACACCTGACAAGTTTTTGCTTTGTAAGTTTTCCTTTGAGTTAAATAACAGTAATAAAAAAAAAAAAGTGGCAGTCCTAGAAAGCAAAAGGCTAGAAAGAATGAGTGGTGGACTGGGATATACATGCTGCAGATAGTGACTGCTGTTCCTGTCAGCTAAAAAACAGGGAGTAAAGCAAGAAGAACAGATCTGTGGGTGAGACAGGAAATCACACCCAAAGAACAGAAAGATAATGGCACCTCTTGTTCATTGCAACATTTTTTTGAAGGATAACTTCTTTATGTTCCCCAGTGGTCAGTACTGGGGTCCATCCTCTTTAATATCTGTATTGATGACTTGGATGAGGGAATTGAGTGCACCCTCAATAAGTTTGCAGGTGACACCAAATTGGTGGGAAACGTCGATCTGCTGGAGGGTAGGAAGGCCCTGCAGAGGGACCTGGACAGGTTGGGTCAATGGGCAGAGGCCAAGGGATGAGGTTCTACATGGCTAAGTGCCAGGTCCTGCACTTTGGCCACAACAACCCCATGCAGCGCTACAGGTTTGGGACAGGGTGGCTGGAAAGCTGTGCAGAGAAAAAGGACCTGGGACTGTTGGTTGATGCTCATCTGAACATGAGCCAGCAGTGTGCCCAAGCGGCCAAGAAGGCCAACAGCATCCTGGCTTGTGTCAGGAATAGTGCAGCCAGCAGGACCGTGGAGGTGATTGTCCCCCTGTGCTCAGCTTTAGTGAGGCCACACCTTGAGTGCTGCGTTCAGTTTTGGTCTCCACACTACAAGAAGGACATCAAGGCCCTGAAATGTGTCCAGAGAAGGGTTGCGAAGCTGGTGAAGGGCCTGGAACACAAATCCTGTGAGGAGTGGCTGAAGGAAGAGGGAACTGGGGTTATTTAGTCTGGAGAAGAGGAGTCTCAGGGGAGACCTTATTACTCTCTACAACTTCTTTAAGGGAGGTTGTGGTGAGATGGGTTTCAGCCTCTTCTCACAGGTAACCAGTGATGGGACAAGAGGGAATGGCCTCAAGTTGTGCCAGGGGAAATTTAAGGTTGGAAATGAGGAGAAATTTCTTCTCAGAAAGAGTCAGGCATTGGAAAAGGTTGCCTAAGGAGGTGGTTGAGCCCCTGTCCTTGGGGATGGTTAAAGAAAAGTTGGATGCGGTGCTTAGGGACGTGGTTTAGTGGGTGACATTGGTAGTAGGGGGATGGTTGGACCAGATAATTGTGGAGGTCTTTTCCGACCTTAATGATTCTGTGATTCTACGAAGTGATCATTCAGATTCAAAGATAGGTCTAGATTTTCATTTTTCCTTGATCTTTACTAATAGCTGTTTAATTCAGTAACCTTCAATAATCCTTAACAGATATCTGGAACTGAACAGTCTGTTTAAATTCAGTACACACACATACTTGTGTGAGTGTTGAGAAAGACCACAGGTGTATCTTTGAGAACCACACATGTGTCCTCCTGCAATATCCCCAGAGCTAGACGCAACTACAGGCCAGAATAATTTTTAAAGGAAGCAGAATGACAACACAGCAAATTATGGGAAAAAGATTACGGTCAATTTTAACTGCTCCTTTGTAGGTCCACCTTTATAAATCATTAACACTTTTATCCACCAATGAAGAACGTTCCCTATATTAAACACGATCATCAGAATCCCAAAATACAGTAAAAGTTTTACCTCAGGTCCCTGTGAAGCTGCTGTTACTGTGCGGATCCCTCTTTGGGGCACACCACCATCTTCCTGGCTAGCTTGCAAGAAGCTTGCCCTAGCCTGGGTGGCATCTGATGCAGCCTCGCTGGTATAAATTCAATACTTGCCCTGCTTTGTGCAGATCCAGAACATACCATTGCTGGCACTGTTTCAGAACTCTGCACTGGGACCAGATGATCTTGGAGGTCTTTTCCAGCTTAATGATTCTATAACTGTGCTCTAACTTGGTGCTGTGAAATCAGCTGGTAGTCAGCACACTGGAAGTTTTTGCTGTTTGACATAAGTCTACCTATAATGTATATGAAGAACATGTTTGGACTGTTTGCTCACAGAACGATTCAGCTTTCTTCCCTAACAATGTGCTCATTGCAAAAAGTAAAATTTATTAGAGTGCTTAATGCCTTACATTTCTCAGATGTATAAGTTAGGCAGGTAAAGTCATTTCAGATTTTTGAAGCAAAAGCACATGTGAAGTCTCTGAAAATCTTGGACTGGAACAAAACTGTCAAGGAGAATTTTGCATGGGCAAAGGATTGCATGCCATAGCATCAAAACCGCATTACAGTAAATCTGGTGTAATTAGATGATGCACTCTCTTTCCTGTGTTCTTATGTCTTAAATTTTCTAAATCTGATATTTAAAGACAAAGTAGCAGCAATATTCGTTGGGTAGGTAGAAAAAAGTCTGATAAAGTTGCACATTGTTTTTAAGGTAAAAAGTCTAGTGTGTTTTTTTTTTTTAAGAGAATGCTTGTGGACTATATATTTCCACTTTAACCTCTTCTGTGGTTTCATTACTCCCACTAGGAGGAGCGTGTTTTCTTAGTAAAGATATGTGATAAACTGCTTTACGAGTGTATGGTAAATATCTTTCTTAGTGTGAAATCTGAACTTTCAAATGTGACAAGTTGCTCATATCTTGGTAACCAGCAGAACAGTACCAAGTAAATAACTTGTATCTGTTATCTTCTGTAGCTTTGTTTCATTCAGTATGAAGTTCTACAAGAGTGAAGTGCAAACACATTACATTTCATATCTCTTTAGCCATCTTGTATTCTTTATGAAGCTTCCAATAATGAATAAATTACTATACTACAGAGCACAAATATATCTGGTATAACTTTTTTATATATAAAAATGCATGCCATTCAAATACTGAACTGGATCTTGAATAGGAATGTGGAAGCCACATAATTCTATTTTGGCAAGTATTGGATTTGTTGGTAGGTGCTGATACTGAATTATGAATCCTTTGCGTACTGAGGGACTGCGATTTAGTTATGTGATAGGACCTCCAGGGGGAAGCATGGGACTGACAAGACCACACTGACTGCAAGCAAAGACAGACTTTCTGATACAGAATCTTTGCTTGTGTTAGCAGTAAATCTTTTCTGTTCCAAATTGAGACTATAAAATCTTTGTCTGGAAAAAAAAAACAAAACAAAACAAATGAAAAACAAACAAAAACTACTATCAGGCTTTAATACCAAAAGACTGGGAATGATTGTGGTTACTTGCAGAGAGAAGAGTAACTGATGAAAATTGAGATGTAATGCATGATTAAACAGGCAGACCCTCTGCTTGTTGTATTCATGGTTCAGTTCTGTCATTGATAATTTAGCCAGTGTAGTGTGCTTCTGCTGTCTAGAAGTCGATGAGTGACGGTAGAATGAAAGGAGAAGCAAAACAGCATGGCTTTGTAAAAGCATTTTTTTGATAGTTGTATAAATAAAATATATTATGATACTTGACTGATAATCGGAAAGTAAGCTCCAAAAAAAGTTAAGACATTTTAATTTAGTACCTTCATTATGTAAGTGCCTGGTCCTTTTTATCTACTAATAATGTTCTAGCTTCCATTCTCATCTTTTCTCACATAATCCCAGAAGAATGTTCATGATGCCATATGAATTGAGCTGGCCGGTAAGTTACATGTCTTTATACTACTGAAAAAGTTTGATTGCAGGTTTTTTGGATATATTTAATTCCTAGCACTTCATTTACACCCAGTCTGGTGTTAGAGCCTCTGTGGGTATAGCAGTGTGCTAATATTGTATGACAGTGTCAAGTGAATTGTATCCAGGAGAAGTTCTTGAATTTATGAAGAAATCACAAGATAAGCATTTGCCTGTGGATGAATCTCCACCTGTGGAAATGTGGTGGGTAATAGCAAAGAGTTCAGGTAGGGCTCAAGCATGGAACTGCTCTTCAGCTTCTGACTGGTCAATTGATGTTTTGAAGAACAGTAAACTGCAGGGGAGGTTTACAAGAGCACAAATATCAATTGCATCTTGGTTTCTTGTGCTGTGTACCATGTTCTTGTTAAAATAATACACAGTATATTCAAACTATACTTCACCAGTTATATCAAGGCTAATTCTGTCCTAGTGCTTTTTGAACAGGAATAGCTCAGGCAAACTTCTCATTGAAATATTTTTAATTTCTTCTTACGGTATTGTGCACAGATTTCAGTTGTATCCTGATTTAGAACTTTGGGCATTCCAGTACTGCTGTAGCAGATTGCAGTGTCTCTGCTGTTTAGCTGAGTGTACAGGCAGCTAGCTTCTGGGCGTTCTGGAGTGGCTGAGGACATCTCTTCAGTGTCCCTTTTGCAGGTGGCATTGGGGGGAAAAAGAAGAAAAGGAACTGAAAGGTGGAGAAATGATGACAGGAGATTGTAGGATTCTTTATTTTTATTTTCAGTATTTATTGTTGTATTTTTTAAAAATATTTTTCCTTTTCTAAGTGTTTTCTAGGTTTCCTGGACTTAAGCTCTGTTCCTGTCAAGCCCATTTGTGGTTCATCACGCACTGCATCAGCATTCTTTCAGAAGGCTTGATTCATATTTATCTTACAGCTTAGAACTAATTCTCCTTGCAAACATTAAAACAAAACAAACAAACAACAAAAAAAACAGCCCTGAATATTTCACTTTTTTCTTGAGTTTCTGTACTTCTCAACTTAAGTGTTTAGGAAGCTGGGTCTTTGATTAGCTTACAATAGAGGTGAAATATGGAAGTTGTTAACATAATTGCCTATAATATTTTCAAGAAAATGTGCTTACATGTTTTTGGGTGACATCTGAGTCACCTCAGTGCCTACTGATAGACCTGCTGCTTTGCTAGGCTCACATAGAGTAATTGTGAGGCTTTGTAATACCACATGATAAAGGCAGAGCAAAATGAAAATCATAATCTTCAAAATGGAGTCCAGCCTGTGCTTTTTTTTCATTATTTGGGTTGAGAGAAGAAACCTAAAAAGAATAATCCTGGTGTTTTGTACATTCTTCATGTCATGAACTGCATAGTATTATATCTTGGATAGAGAAGGGCAGGCTTTTGGAAGCTGAAGAGTGGTAAGATACAGTGCAACTTTTTTCTGTTGGCCTCAGCACCCTTTGCAGTGCTAGAAGTTTTCGTTTTCTATCTTTTTGTTGTGGTGTTTTGCCAGTATTCCAGACAGAGGTATTAGTATGCTCTTAAAAAAAAAAAAGACAAATATAGATAGGAGAAGGAAGTTAATTTAACGAACTTATTATAAATAATAATACCTATAAAGTTATGAGAAGGTGGAGTCCCTTTGATAATGCTGTTGCTCTGGGATGTGATACAGGGAGGGGGACCCAGCTTCCAGAGGAAGGCTGCATGGAGCCATTGAGATACTCCTAAACTGAGCTGTCTGCTGGATTATCGTGATTCTGGTCTGATAAATCTGTTATGGCAGGTCATGCACAAAAATTTCTAAGCTGTTTCCAGAGTAGAAATAACCATGAAAGCAGTGGGTCATATGTATCTTGTGCTTGACTGCAGGATCATGGCCCTGAGGTTGCTCAATGTGAAGCAGTTTGCATGTCCCTCCATTTGCAAGATATCTGATTTTTTTTTCCTGATGGAAGGGGTGACTGCATATGTAATGAACACCTTGTAGATCTAGTTCCACATCTAGTTCCAGATCTAGTGCAATAATGCTCATATGGAGTTGCCATTTTTGATGTTTTCTAAAATTCCACAATAATGAGGCTTCTGCCAGCAATGACATGGATTTTAGAAAATTAAACACCACTAATGTCTACTTATTCCTTTGTAGCTGTTTGCTAATGCAAATTTTCATCTTTCAATTTCCATCCTTCTGCTAGTATGTTTGCTCTTTTTTGTGGCTCTCTTCTGAGTTGAAATGGGTCCTGGTAACATCCACGGGTAACTACCAGGTGAGATAGGCCAGCTTTAATAAAACTTGCAGTTTCTCTCAAGATCTTTGAGAGGGAATCTCCTGCTCCTGAGGGAAAAAAAAATAAAAAGAAAAAATTAACCAACCAAAAAAAAAAAAGTAGCCTTGTTTGCAGCTTTTCACCTCTTGATGTGTTTTTGTGATATTTTTCCCTTTGGACTGTGACCCTTTCCCCATTTCATGATGGCTTCTCAGAACTTCGGCTTCCAGCCTCCTACCCATGTTATGTTTATGATAAGTAAGTTTGTCAGTCCTCTTATTCCTTGCACTGGTATTGTTCATGGATAGTGACAGAACTACTGACGTTGCTTAGAGAGCCTTGGTTAATGCAGAGGTATGTCTGCCCTAGCTCATGTTTGAGGTTGTGCTTCACAGCACTTTGAAAGCACCTTTGATTCTACCTGCCTTCTGTTCCACTGCGGTCTTTGCACCTTTGGAGTGCTGTTTTTAGGGTTCCTGAGTGCAACTCGATTCCCATCTTCCAGAACAATACAGGAGAGATGATACCAAGTCTTTAATGGCTATGGGGTTTTGCTCTTTGTTTGATTCTCAAGTATGGTAATCATTTTTTTTATGCAAATTGTTTCCTGAGTCTCAAGAGTTCATTTAGTCTGAGAGTTCAGCTTGATTTGAGTGAGCTTTGAAGCTTTATACCTGCAGACTGATCCATCAAAAATTGCTTTTTTGGAACATTTAATTTGCTGGTCAAGATCCATCTGTGAGGTGAGAGTTTGTCTTTGAAGTCCTTTGGCCTCTGCTGAACCATGGCTTTGTATATGGCTCTGCAAGCCTTGATCTCTTCAGCGTTCAATAAAAGAAGATTTCTTTGGCTTAATCCCCCCCCCCCCGCCCCTTTTTTTAGGGAAACAACATGATCAGAGCTGTCAGGTAACTCCTGAATCTCAAAATTGATAATTTCTCCAGAATTAGTAGTTCCATCTTCACTGCTTTGGCCATTAGGCTTAGAAGATGCTCTCAGTGGAGTGTGATAAACTCCATTGCCTCCTGCAGTAGTACCTTGTTGACATGTATCATAAATAAAGCTTTTGTAGGCAATAAGATTTCTTTCAGCCTTGTTATTTGTCATTCATGTGAATACGTTAGATTGATTTTTGATTTTAGATCCTTGCTGTTCCTAGTGGATTTTTTTAAAAGCAAGAAAACCAAAAACCATGCAAGTGACAGCTAATATCACAAATGCACAACGTTATGAAATGTCTGTCTAGACACTGGTGAAGTAACTGTTGTGTTTTATTTCATATGCAGGATATTCAGGTTGATGCATCTTTGACATAAACTGAACAATTTCTCCTCTTGAATGGCCAGTTTCAAGGGGGGGGGGGAATCTGTTCTGGAGTAGTTTGGATATCTCATTCTGTATGCTTAAAAATTTTTCCAACATACAAAGAATTCTTTTTTTCTAAAGAGAAGAAAGCCTTACCACTAAAACTGAGGAACATGGATATACATTTAAACATATAAAACCCTTAGTCAAGTTGGTATTCAAAGACTAAAGTGTAAAATAACCTAAATCAGCTGTAACAGCAATGTCACATTCCTTTAGTGAGCTGAAGTAGTACTTGGGTAACAATTGCCTGCCTTCTTCCTTCTTGTTTCCAGATTATACCTAAATTTTAATTTATAGGTGGCTATGCAGATGCAATAGTTATAGTTATTTTGAAGAACTGCTAAGGATTTTTCCGAGTGTACCTCAGTAATTCAAGATATTTGGCACGTAGTGCAGATGTCAAGCATTGTTTCACTTACCTTTGGCTTTACGCTCCCAGAGAGGCAGGAGAACAAATACAACACTTTTTTCTAATTGCAGTTTGTTTAAACATGTTCTAACAGCAGTTTATTTATACAGTTTATGTATGTGAGAATTGATTACCTATTTACATGTTAGTATTACTAACAACCTCCATAAAATTCTTTACCACATTAATGATGAGGGCAGCAGAGTCTTTCCTGGGATTATGAAGTCTATTTTATACGTGCTATTTATAATAAGAGATTTTGTTTGTGCATTCATATCTGCTAACCTCCAGCTTCTTTTTCTTGGTGTAGGATTAGAGGGCCTGTGTGCTCTGTTACAACTTTCTCTTATTTGAAATCTAATTATTTCAACTCTCGTCTATTTTTAGATGGTGAAGGACAGACACTGTGATGGGCACTAAAGCAAGGACTTGCAGTGTGAAGTGACAGGTATTAGTATGTAGTCCCAGTAGTCAGACATAAATGGGGAAGACTTAGGTGATGTGTGTCTTCTGGCCATGGTTTGTTCTGTTCTCAGTATTTCAATGTTGGTAGAAATATTTGTCTTTATATTATGTCTAAGAGCTGCCCTGCAACAGAGAAGGTAAGTTTATAAGCATAGGAAGGGGGATAAACATTCAAGCCCTTAAATCTGGTGTGTTTTTTTTCTGACCTAGTCCTTAAAGTTGAATGGACAGCTGCTAAAACCATGACAAAACAAATGAAGAAACAGGGTTTCTTTAAGATATCAAAGATAACAATTTGAGATTTTTAGCCTTTCCCTAACTATTAGACAATACTTTCAGACATAGTTTAATTTTTGGGTTGTCCTGCATGGAGCTGGGAGTTGGACTCCAAGATCCTTGTTGGGTCTCTTCAAACTCAGGATATTCAGTGACTATTTTTTGTCCTTTGAGACACAGACACAGTCTCCAGTTTGTTCAGTGAGGTTCTCTGTTCATTTTCCTGATTGAGAATTAGTCTCTACAGTGCTTGTTTCTGGAAACTATTTAGTTGCTAGTGCCTTTTTTTCTGTCTTAGGAGTTCAGCTGAGTTTTCTCTGCTTTATGGTACAGGACTGCTGAAAAGTGTTAGCTAATATGTATCTCGATTCTCTGATTTGGGTTATAAAGGATTTGCTTGTGAACATTGTTCTGACAGATAGTTAAGTATGGACTTCTTCCTTAGTTAACCAAGCAAATAGTCTTAGATGTGCTTTGCTAGATAGAGCCATGTGTAGAAAACAGGGTTTTGTTTTTCATGGGGAAAAATGTAGCATGAGAACTTGAAATCTAAATTACCTTCAATTAAAAAAATAAAAATTAGAAGATACAGTATCTTAATGCCATAATCTGGGAGAAAGTTGGAGAATTTCTTGAACGTGAGACTTGTTTTAAATGTCAATAAAATTGTGTACAATCTATACTTTTTCAGTAAACGTAAAACATATATTGGATTAGCTATCTTCCAGAAGAACCCCAGCATCTGCCTGTTGTGACAAGTGATCCGAGAAGTGACATGCATAGCAGTTCCAGGTGGGTTTGGTACATGTGTATGAAGTCTTCTTTCTTGTTATATGCAGTGTACTATATAAACAACACATGCATTGTATAATTGTTTCCTACCTGGTCCTTTTGTAATGTCCATTTTTTCTAATAAACATCTTTTGAAGTCATTATTTTGTGGCTGTTTTCCAAGGGTCTGAGTGTTCTCATGTGTTGCTCGTCCTCAGTGATGTATTCTCTTTGAATTACATGGGGAAGAGAAGCAGAGAAACTTGTAATCACTTCACTGGGGTGGAAACTTTATTTTAAGCTGTCATGGCAAAACCTTTTCTAATAGCTTTTCTTTAAGTATTTTCTTGGAGAGCCTTAATGCAGAGGGAAAAACATTTTAAGCTAACTTGAAGAAACTTCTCATGGAGCAACAATTATTCTGAAGGTATGCTTGGAAATCAATGATGGAAACAAATTAGAATTTGTCATCTTGTGATTTTACTCCCCGGTGAAATGCCAAATTCTGTGGGAAATTTCAGCAGTACAAGATCGAGTTGCCTTGCACTTACATGAATAACAAGAATTTGGCTTCATCTTGACATCCTAAATTTGTATGCCCCACCCCACCCTGCAATGAGGAATGAGAAAGGGAGAATGCACTATAGCAGTCTTTAATGTGCAGCACAATACTGCAATAGTCTGATTGTTTTCAGGTATTAAGGGGGAAGTTGGCCTGTGTCCTGGTATGGATATGTTTTCAAGAGGTGAGAATCTGTGTGCATATTTGTATTTAGTAAACAATTTCTTTTATAAAAATATTCTGGCATGTCATGTGGTTTAGTCTGGCTTTGTTTTTCATTTCAGCTGTGAAGGTATTACCAGAATTACACAGATGTTCTTTTTCCCATTGTTGATCCTTTTTTTACATGTAATGTGCTCATCTTGCTGAGCAGCGGGAATGAGTGCTTCCTAAAAACACCTACTACCACAGAAGTGTAAGTTCAGGAGCTGGCCTGAGACTGTATTGGAGACTTGACAGAGAAAGCAGAATTGTAGTTAATCTCGTGACAGACATGTTAAGCAAATTAAATGAAACAGTAAGATCCAAAAGTTCTGAAATTTGACACAGTTTGAACCATCTTCAAACAAAATCTTCTTGACTACATAGATTTGGTGTGTTGCAACATTTTTTGTGTGCAGTCCTCTGAACACAGCGCTACATCTGTAACTGGTGTGGGATGCTGGCAGGCAAGTTTGGAAGAGGATGGTGAGATTAACAGTTATATTCAGTCAACTATTTCCTATTACAAAAAACTTTTAGGTTAAATCTTGTAGTTTACGAATAACAGCTTGTTGCTTTCATGGGGCAACAGAGTTCTTTTTCAACAAGGACAGGCCTGGAGGAATCACTAGCTGCTTGCAGATAAGGAACCATCGCTGTCCTGTACAATGAATAAATGCATTGTATGTTTGTGTGAATTCCTGCTCTTTCTAAAGTGACCTGTGAATTCAAAATGAATCTCCTGTGTAAATTGCATTCTGAGGTGGGGAGAGAGCTGAGAAAATGCATTCAATATGCAAATCCTTCCTTGCTCTGCTGTGAACTATACACTGAATCAGCAGTTAATCTGGGAATAATTCTCATTGTGAGCCGTGGGCTGATGGGGTTACTTGCTACAGTTTGAGGAATGACATGGTAAAGTGAAGAATCCAATGAGGTGTTATAGGGGAAGAATAAAGTTTGCTGAGAAGTGTAAAGAGAATATTGCCCTCTTCAGGGCTGTTGTTTTGTATGCTCTTAAGTGTGTAATTTACCAGGTGATAAACACTGCACCATTAAAGCTGAAGATATGTATTTAAATATGCAGGCCAATTTTGCTTTGATTTTCTTCAACCTAGTGCATTTGGAGCTGTGTAAATCAACCCAGCTCGATATGCAAGCCTGTGTAAGCATATCCAGGTTGGAATCCGTACAAACGCACCCATATCTCTGAAGTGGTGTAAGCTGAATACCACAAGTACTCTATCAGGAGTAACAGTATGGGTGTAGGATATGAATTCAAGATATGAATTCATCTTTTAAGATGAATTCATATGTTGAAGATATGAATTCATCTTTAAGTTACGAATTCATCTTTTTTAGGAACATCTTGTTCCCTGTGTGCAAATTGCTCTGAGAGTGATATGGCCAATTTTATGTCAGTAAAAATTTGCTAGTCTTCCTATAGGCAAGGCATACATGATGCACAACCCCCACTGCTTTCTTTGTTTGACTGGACTGGACAGGCTTTAAGGTATATGGTATCAGTTGTTTGGTTTTTTTCTCTGGCAATTTAACTCTATCAGTTGTCGCAGGAATTCTTAAGGACATGTAGCTCTCACTTCTTTTTTACAAGTCATGAAACATTCAACTCTCCTGGTTCTTACAGCTCTTTATGGGACCTTTTGTTTTCATCTGGTGTATTTCAAACTGAAATATATTTTTTTAATATTCTTGCTTACATCATTGTCTATGCAATGCTTATTGATGAGGGTAAATTTGTTAGAAATGTCCTTAAGGAAACATGGGCTAATTGATCTGGCCTCTTCCCAGAAATTGCAAAGGTTGAATCATTCTTTTAGATTTTAACCAAAGTCTGAAGAAGCATGGAGGCCAAGTATTCAAAGTTTTTAGCTTTCCTTCTGAAGAGAAAAGTTGACAATACACTGAAGTGTGAAAGTGTGAGAGTCTCACTACCATAAAGGTAACACCTAGGCAGAGTACAGCCTGTTCTGCTGGGTTGGTTCCAGAGCATGTGCAGAGAGAAGTGGGGAAGCAGGGCTGTGACCGCCTTTTGTGGGGGCAATGCTGGCAGCAGCTGCTTCCAGTTGAATCAGCAGCAGTCTTGATGGTGACTTCTGACATTTTGTGCTCCCTGCTCTTCATCCAGAAGGGGATTTGCAGTGGAATTGAAAAATTACTCAATTTAAATTTGTTAGTAATTATTTTTCTTTCCTGGCCTGTGTTGTTGATCATACTCCTGTGTGAGTCTCAGTTACCAGCATCCTGGCTTGCTGAGATCTGTTAGTGTTGCCATTTTGTTGGATGGTTGTGGAGGCTGGGCTTGGACAGCTAACATGATAGCCACAAACTTGTATTTGCCAGGTTTTTGTGGTCTTGCCATTGCACAAGGGGATGGTGCTGGGCCAGAGTGGCACTGCAACACTGGGAACCTTGAACTGCCTTAAGCTGAGGGGAAAAAAGGTTAAGCTAAAGCAAAGTAGGTGATTGATTGTTTTCCTGTTGATAGCGTACTGAATTATTCGTAACCTGTCGATCTAGTTTAAATGTGTAACCTATAATCACTCTCAGAGCTTTTGAAAATTCACACTTTGGACATCATCACAAGGCAAAAAAAAAAAAAAGTTGTGTAGGGAACAAGTATAGGAAAAAGCACCATATATCAGAAAGTGGAAATTGTGAAGCTTCTTCCAAGGTGTTTCCTGAACCAGATACATGGTTTTCCTTCAGAATATTGTGGGGAAGTGTGTGTATGTAATAAAATCTCTTAGATCATGACCTCCTTAGAACCACGGAACAAATTAGGTTTTAATTGCAGGTGCCCCAGTCCCCTCAGCTCCTCTCTGAAAGGTCTGAGCGCAACTAGAGGCGATGAGTTACCACTGTGAGGAGCCTCATGGGTGACCCAAGATGTGTGAGATTGAGCTCCATGACGAAGAGCTGGGAGGGTGGACACCAGTGCTGGAGCTTGGGGGGCTGCCTCTTCAGGACCAGGAGGGCTTTCTGAGTTTGAAGACATATTGTGCTCTCCCTAAGTAAATGCTTAAAATGGCAAAGATGAGCTAACAGCAGCCTAAGGCATACATGTTGACAATGGGTGGAAGCCATGTTGCTTTCTTACCTGACCCATTTTCACCTGATGGCTGTACGACTTCTCATGGGGTACCCTTATGTTGAAAAGTTGGTGGTAGCAAAGGCAAAGTCCTGAAGATGAAAACAATGCCTAGGCTAGGCTGGCCTGGCAGGGGAGATTTGAGAGGAACTCCTTCAGCCTGTTGGCCATGGCTTCACAAGAGGTTTGTGAGCTGCTGTGGTTTCTGCAGAGGATTCTGGTTGCTGCCAAGTGAAGAAAAGTTATTTACTAACCCATTTTGTTTTTTTGATGATGAGCTTCACTTTGAACTACATAAGTGACGGTCTTCAGCCAGCCTTTCTGTGTCTGAAACCTGTAGTCATCAAGAAGGAGATCCAATGGAATAGCATTATCCCTTCAAATGCTAAAATCCAACACTTTGGTTGTAAGTAAAAGGGTGTTGCAGTGTTTGTGCCCACAGTAGTTTCCTTTCACAAATGAAAGGGGGGAAAAAAAAAAAGAGAAATATGTCTGGGCAGTGTCCCACAGCTGCAGTGTTGGCCATTGCTTCTGCTTGGGAAAAGTAGCAAACTGCTCTTCCTATTGGCTTCCACATCCCCTGGTGGTGAGGGTTAGTGGGGCTGGTGTGCTTCTTTGTTCAGCTCCTGTTGCCCAGTTCCATCTCTGCTGGCAATACACAAGAAGGGTCTGACCACTGATAAAGTATTTTGAAGCTCTTCCTTAAAATATAAATAATGCAATAAAACCAGATTAAGTCCTGCCCAGTATTGCATCTCCAAGAATTAACATTTCAGTTAATAGAACAATATTAACCTAATATAAATGTATGATGGATGGAGGAGGCTCTGAAACATGAGCAGCTGGCTCACAGCATCCAATCCTCCATGTTAAGCACAGGAATACATGTGGGTGTGCAGGGCTCAGAGCAGCAGCAGCAGTGGAGGGGCCTATCTTTTCAGTGTGTCCTGGTCCAGGACAGGAACTTTCCAGATGGATGAGAAAGGAGAAACTGGAGAAATAACCTCTGATTACCCTAGCAGGAAGTTTCAAAGCTTGTGAATTGGAGTTTACATTAAATTTGAACTGTTTCCTTGACCTCAGATGTCAGAAAATGGAAAGTAGATGGAGTTTCTGCTGTACCCTGGTGTTGCACTAAGTGCTGCTAATAGTTTTTTTTAATTGGAGAGGTGGAGTAATAATTGGTTTTAACCTTACATGAACACTACAGTAGTAAGCAGTGGAAGACATGACCTGCAGCTTTCTCAAGTGCATTTGGTATGTGTAGGAGTGGGGAGAGGTTTGAAT